CATACTATCTTGATTACTGTAGCCTCAAAGTAGTGCAAGTCCTTTAACTTTGTACATTTTTTCCAAATTGTTTTAGCATTCTTGGTCCTCTGCATATCTTTGTAAATTTTAGAATGAGAATGTTTTATTATCTTGGCTAGAGGATTTGGTACCTTAATCTTAAGTGGGTCATTGTGAATTCAGAAATTGGACAGATGAGAGATATACTTTAAGGAAAAGCCCACTGAATATAATGTCAAAGTAGATGTGGCTCTAAAATGCTGACCCTGATTAGCTGGAATAATGGTAAGGTCCTTGAAGAAGACAGAAAGGTTGAGATTGAGAGCTTTATCTGGATATAAGAAAGGTTGATGTTTAGCTTGCTTTCAAAAATGTAAAATTTATTATGATTGCAAAGCACACAAATAGAAAAGTGAAAAGGAGGGTAAGTTGGAGATGTGGGAAGAAGATTGGTGATGGAAATAGAGATTTGAGAGCAATCAACAGAAATAATAACAGAAAAAATGGAGAGGGAGAATATGGAGAGAAAAATAAGGGCCAAGGATTGACCAGAGAACAGCATATGTAATTATAGCATAGGTAGAATAAACAAATTCATTGGAGGTAACTAAATGAGTGCTGGGAAGAGAGAAAAACAGTGTGGTGTCATGGAAACCAAGGTTGGAGAATGTCTCCATGAGACAGGGGTTAGAAGTGTCAAAGCAGAGAAGGAAGAGGAAAAAAAAAAGAAAAAGCAAAGTCTGATGGCTTTAGCAATGGAGCCTTCTTTAGTGACATTTGAACAAACGATTTCATGGGCATGAACATGTCTAAGCCAACTCGCAGGGAATTACGGGGTGTGGGAGAGAAATTCTATTTCAGTAATTCTGAAAATGAAGAGAGAACAATGAGATTGTCACTGTAGAGAACCACAGGATCAGATGTATCTTCTTTATACAAGTTATATATACTCGCTTTTTGACAAAATGGGGCTAGTGTCTCTGCTTCCCACAATTATATCAAATTGTCTGTCCACCAGATTTTATAAAATAGATAAGCCAGCTGGGCTCCAAACAGCTAGATGATACTTTCCTTCTCCTCTCTCAACTCAGGAGCTTACATCCCCTCATCCAAACCTCAAGTTGTCCTAATCCTTTACTATTACAGTGGAAACTAAACATGTTTTCTCAATCATAATTCTGTCTTCCTGACTTCACTCAAAAGGACTACTGGAATTAGCAAAAAATATTTTTTGGTGGGACTTGAATGATCATTTTCAGCGGAGTGAAAATGTTTTGTAGTTATTCTGCTTTGAGGGTACAATGACTTGTTTGGACAGTGTTACCTCTCTGAAATCAAGTTTCTACACTCAGAATTCAACTGAAACACTGCCTAAAAGGCCCTTTGTGACCACTCTTCAAAGTTTTCTTTCCTTGAATACTTATTGCTATACCATTTTTTCCGAAGACACTCATTTTTATGGTTTTCTCAACATCCACTTCACCAGCATTCCTCCTTGTTAGAAGGGTCTGAGTGGTGGATATCAATATTGGTTGAGACACAGAGCATGACTTTCTCCTTGGTGCCCCCTTTCCCTTCCTAACATCACTATGATGTCTGTGAGGTGTACACATGCTCAGAAGTCTTCGTGTACAGGAAATAATTTGCTCTGCAGTGATGTTATTCATTATGTTTGCACCCCAAAGAAGCACAAGTAGGTTTGTCTCTTCATGTGCAAGGATCTTGTCCATGAGCATGCTGGTCAGAAAGAAAGGCATTGGGTTCACTCTCTCACTTCAACTATCACTGTCCCTTGCTTTAAAGTCTGATTGCTGATGGAATTTCCTCTTGATGACTTTCTTTATTGCTTTCAGACACTGATAAAACAGAATGCAGAAAAAGAACTTCACGAAAGTGAAAGAATTCATCTTGGGATTCTCTAGCTTTGGAAAGCATCAGATAACCCCCTTTGTGGTTTTTCTAACCATCTACATTTTAACTCTGGCTGGTAACATCATCATTGTGACCATCATCCACATTGACCATCATCTCTGCACACCCATGTATTTCTTCCTGAGCATGCTGGCTAGTTCAGAGACAGTGTACACACTGGTTATTGTCCCACGGATGCTTTCTAGTCTCATTTTTCACAATCAGCCCATCTCTTTGGCAGACTGTGCAACCCAGATGTTCTTTGTTGTCATCTTGGCCACCAACAATTGCTTCCTGCTGACAGCAATGGGCTATGACCGCTACATGGCCATCTGCAAGCCCCTGAGGTACACGGTCATCATGAGCAAAGGAATGTGTGCGCAGTTGGTGTGTGGGTCCTTTGGCACTGGTCTGGTTATGGCAGTTCTCCATGTGACAGCCATGTTCAATTTGCCATTCTGTGGCACAGTGGTGGACCACTTCTTCTGTGACATTTACCCAGTCATGAAACTTTCTTGCACTGATACCACTATCAATGAGATAATCAATTATGGTGTAAGTTCATTTGTGATTTTTGTGCCCATAGGCCTGATATTCATCTTCTATGTCCTCATCATCTCCTCCATCCTTACAATTGCCTCAGCTGAGGACTGGAAGAAGACCTTTGCCACCTGTGCCTCCCACCTCACTGTGGTCATTGTCCACTATGGCTGTGCCTCCATTACCTACCTCAAGCCCAAGTCAGAAAGTTCAATAGAAAAAGACCTTCTTCTCTCTGTGACCTATACCATCATCACTCCCCTTTTGAACCCTGTTGTTTATAGTCTGAGGAACAAGGAAGTCAAAGATGGCCTGCACCGAGTTGTGAGCAGAAACATTTCTTAACAGATTGAATCATTTTGTCAGGAGACCTTTAGCCCAGAGTAATATGTGTCTATTCACAAACATGCCACAATACACACGTTCATCAAATGCAGTGTTTGTTGAGCATAATATCAGAGAGTGGAAACGCTTTTCTTTTTTTATGTTCTAAGGATGGCAGAAAGTAGGGCTTCTGCTCTGGTGAATTTTGTAACCAAATACAAGAATCATTCCAAGTCGGACTAAGACTACTTGTTTCTGTGGTTGAGGATTTGGGTTTTGAAACTTTTAGGGACCCCATTTTATCTGAACTCTCTAATAGTCAAATCCTTGACTTAGTCTGGGAAGGGGATGTGGAGAAGAGGCAGTGGGAACTTAGGTGGCAGGGGTATGGGAAAATGAGCAGCAGCTTTCATTTCTCTCTTCTTATACAAAAGAGAAAGCTTTCATTCTCAGGAGTTAAATCATGTTCCCTGCAACAGTCATTTTAGAAAGGGTTTCCTTAATTCTTGCTGATTGAGAAATGAACAGCTTTGCAAAAAAGGGTCCTTCTTTTATTATCTAGCCAAATTAACTCCTTAAATAGTATTCATTTCTATGTGTATTCCTTCCTTCTGTGCAATCAAGGCAAATATCTCTGCTGTTCCTTAGAGGCTAAGCAGGGAGAAGATATATTAGTGGCTTTTCTCTGTAACTGCATTTTTATCCAGATGCACTCTTTTGTAAAGACTCTTCTCAACCTATGGAAACTTTTTAGATTTTTGATTTATATGTAGTAGCTGCAATAGCACTGAAGTTGTGTTAGATTTTGGTTGTACTAATTCCAGGGTCCGAGGTAAATGCCATTAACTTCCATTCTTTCAGTAAACAGTGCAAACATCATACTTCTCCACATACTTATTCACATCAAAATAAATATAACCATGTTATGTTGCTTGATATCCTCAATGGGGAAAGTTGTGGGAATATTTTGTTTTATTGATCTTCCCACCAGAGTTTTTCTCTAATTTGAGACAGAGCTGGAAGACACTTTCTAACATTTGTTTTCACACACTCATGGCACCCATTGTTATTCCACCTCGAGGTCAGTTCCTATCCTTTACTTCCCAATTTTCTTTCTTTTTTTTAAATTTCTAATATTAAGGGGGTACAAATGTTTTAGGTAACATGAATCATTTTTGTAATGCTTGAGTCTGGCTATAGATGTGTCCGTCACCCAAATAGTGTTCATAGTACCCATTAGGTTAGTTTATTCCCCTCCACTTCTCTCCCCTCCCCTCTGGTTGCTTTCCACTGAGTTTTACTTCCCTCTGTGCCCTTGTGTGCTCATCAGTTAGTTCCAATTTAATAGTAAGTATATGTGGTGTTTTTCTATTTTGAACCACAGAAATAGGGCTGAGCATCTTCTAGGTGACCTGTAATTTTCTCTCTGTTCTGCAGAGCCCTGCGTAAGATCACAAGCTGGAGGTGAGGGTCCTCTGCCGTGTTCTCTTGGGGCCAGCTGTTACAGTTGGGTGACATAACAGGTGGTGGTGTCTCGCCAGTGACCAGCACCTCATATCCTTCTAAAGAGTGTCTCAACATGAGGTCCACGGTTCCCTAAGGGTGCCTGGGTAGGTGTCAGTGGTTTTTTAAAACTTTTTTGAAATTATTCACTAAATCGTGACTATAAGCACAAGTGTGCCTTTTTCATCATATTCTTAAAGAATTTGCTCTGATATAAGTATTTCTTCCCTCAAGTCCAAGCAGAAATATGAAAACAGATCCAACTTCCCTCTTTTATAGACTATTACTTTTACAATTTCTTTAGACTCTCTTAGAGAAATACCGTTTGACTTTGTTTTTGCCTATATGGGCACTATTATTTTTTCACTAAATGGGAGAATGTTCTCAGCTTGGAGGTTGAGGGATAATGGGTGGTAGATGGATGTCAGAGGGCAAATATGGTCTTTTTCATTGAGACTTTCCCTGCCTTTTCCCATGGCATCCCCTTATTCCCTAAGAGTTTCAATACCATTCCCATCCCTCCCTCTGACACCTTATGGGTGAGTGGATACTTTTCTAGTGTTGTTTTAAATACTTTGCATGGCTTTCGACCCACTGGTGAAAGCAGCTTCTACAGGAAAACTGCAATAATATAAAAGTGAGTAGGTCTATGTGGTCAGCATGATGAATCAGGAGCAGTGTGTCATTTTCTTGCTGCTTCCCATAATCTATTCTTAATACTTATATTGCCAGCTGATGTGGGGATATTTTCCCTATTACCATTGTTTTTATCATCATCACCACCATGATTATTCTCTGATATCTCTCTCTACCCATGATCCTTTATCTTTCGTCTCTTACATCAAAAATACCTCCATTCTTTTAGCACTTTTTTTATTTAGCTCTTTCTTTCATCAGAGAAATGCCTATAATATAATTTATTTCTTCAATCTGTATATATTCCTCAAGCACTATGTGAAGCAATTAACTATCTCTGAGCTTACCATAATGAGTCATGCAGGGACTCTGTTTCACATTATTCATAGTCCAGTTGGGAAGGCAGACAAAATAACAAGAATTGCAAAAACTTGCTACAGGCACGTGTACAGGATTATTGTTTGGGGTCAAGGGTGTTATTCAAACAAAGGATCTGGTCAAATCTATTTAGAAGGTCAGAAAAGCATTCAAAGAGAGATGATATTTAATTAACTTTTTGTGGCATTGGGTCAATTGATGTCTGGGAGGCCGATAAGGGAAAAAGGAAGAGCCTGAGAAGAGACACAAACGCTGGAAATGCCAGACGTATTAGGTGAGCAGGTGTTTTATTCACCTCTGTATGCCCACTACCTTGTTGAATATTAGCCTACTAACAAGTAGGTGCTTAGTATACCTTTGGGTGAATGGCTGTGTGAACACTTATTAAGTATAAAGTCTTATCCAAAGATTTCCAGGTGTATTTTTTGATAGATACATATTATCATGTTCCCTCTGTCTACCTTACAGACTTTCCTCACCTGAGGTCAACTAACAGAGAAAATAACAGAGTAGGGGTGACAATCCTAAGAGCATATTTGAAATTACTTTCTCCCATTGCAGGATTGCCTACAAGCAGTTCTTACTTGCTCCATAAACTCAGTTGACTATCATATAATTACATTAATTAGTCATTTAAAACTAGACTATAAAAAGCCTTTCTTTTAAAGGAAACTGGATTAACACGAGGTTAATATGTTTTAGCCATAACCAGGACAATAACTTCAACAAGCTTAAAAATGATTTCTTGATAGCTTGACATATAAAATCAAGAGTTAAGATATTTCAAAATTTGCCTTTTAGAAAAAATTACGAAAAGACTATTATGGATCTTAAAACTTCCGAAATATGATTTGTACAGTCTTAATTTTGTAGCTTTCTGATATCCTTTTGCATTCCTTTTCAATTCATGATGAATAACAGGAGAAAATTGCTGCAGTCCTCTCAACAATAAGTAGAATAGAACATTTTATTAATGGACACAAATGCTTCTGGGAGAAGAGAGGGAAGGAAAGTGGGCAGGAGAGATAAGATTAAGCCAAAGACAAACAGGTAGTTTATGGTTAAGCCCACAGAGCTTAACTTTTAAAAAGACATATTGAAAATGTGCAAGAATCAAAGTTAGTTTTATTGCTGCTGCTGAGGTGTGTACACCAGGTATAAGCGTGTGTGTGTGTGTGTGTGTGTGTGTGTATGGACATATATATGTACACATACATGCACATGGGTGTTTTTGTGGGGAGAGAGCTAACATATAAAAGTTTTAGATGTTATGAGCATCTCATCTATCTATGAGATAAAAGTGCTTTATTTGCATTATTTCATTTAATATCCATCCCTAATATTTATATAGCTCTTTACAGTTCACGATGGTCTTTCATGTCCATGACCTCATTTGATTCTCAGCATTCCTGTAAGGTATTAGTCTCCCATTTTTCAGATAAATCCACTGTGAGTGGATAGTTTAAATTACTTTCCCCAGGTCACATACATCAATGGAGATAGAAGTAGGACTAAAACAGAAGTGAGCCTCAATTACAAATCTGTTTATTCTAAATTCCATGCTTTTTATTACTTCATCCATATGTCCAAATGTGTGTGTGCATGTGCGTGCATACACACACACACAGACACACAATTTATTAATTCTCATCAGGGAATAAAGTATCATGAATAAGTAAACTTTAGTTTCAGATGCTAAAGCATCATTTTCAACCAGTATTGATAGACTCTGAAATGTCCTAGTTCCTTTCCTGCCTTTGTAAACAAAGTATATTGATGATCAGGAATATATTTCTTGACATGTTTACATGGGCACTTAACTATATCTTGTGTTGTAGTTCACTGATATTTTCAGTTGGAACTGAACTTATATTAGAGTCTATGCTTCTGAATTAAAAAAACCTACATATTTCAGTATTTTATAAAATTCGTATTAGCATTGCATGATTTCTGACTTTTTAAATTTTTTAGTTTGTTACTTCAACAAATCTGATATGCATGCCCACTGTGAGTGTCAGGCACTGGGTTAAGCACCAGGGACGAAGCAATAAATAAGACCCGAATCTTGCTTTGAGTAGCTAATGATCTCTTGCAACTCTTTTCAATGCAGTGTGATTAGTGCTATACATACTGTACAATGAAACCCCAGAGAAAAAAATATGGCCTGACTTGGTGAATTTCATCCTTGCATGTATTGGTAGGAGAAGGCCAAGGTGAATGAGTTTGGCCAGTCCAAGCACTGTATTCTAGTGAGACTACCTGACATTGAGCCTAATCAGACACAGTAAGTGCACCAGGGTTAATGAATCCAGAATCACTATAATTTATAATCCACAATATCCAGTATATAATTACAAAATGTTCAACATTGGAACAAACAGAAAATTATGATCCATCGTCAAGAGAAAATCAGTTTATATAAATCAATCCTAAGATGATTTAATTTAGTAGTCAGGGACTTTAAAACAGCTAGTGTATATAGGTTTAAAAACTTAAAGAAAAATATGTTTATGGTGAGTAAACAGATGTAGAATCTCAGTCAAGAAATCTAGAACTAAAAATTAAAATATTTG